CGTCTACAAGGAAAAAAAGGAAAATAGGTTGCTATAAATTAAGAAGTTCGCCAAGTAACTTATTCTTGGCGATTATTATATTTGGGCGTAATTTAAATCATAGAATCGAAATATGGAAAAAATTTGGTATGTCATTTCAGAAAAGTCCGATTGTCAAAATATCTATGTTAGAATGATACTTTATATAAATCTAATATATAACCTAAGTCGCGCTTTTGAGACATGAAAAATGTAGCTTGTGTTCATCACTCGGTCCAGTAGAACCTGAGATATAAGAACTGTCCCATTTTTTTATTTTTTCTGTACAGTGTACTATAAAGGAATTCCCCCCTATAGTGATAGTATATAGTGCATAACTTTAGTATATAATGCATAAAATGTAATGAAAACTTAGTTGTTTATAAGTTTTGTTCTCTAGGCTGTAATTCAACAAACTGTGCTTAAACATGATACTTAGAATCTCCTCTTTCAGAGTTTTTGCTCTGCAAATTTTGAAACTGCATCATCAAAACTGATATCTTTAACTACACTATTTTCAGTTGATAAAATAGTAAGCTAGAGAATCATGCTTGGTTCATAGTGCATCTGAGATAATTCTTAGCCTGAGTTTTGAAAACTCCACTCACATGATATACAAAATAGTAAGCTAGAGAATCCTGCTTAGTTCATAGTGCATCTGAGATAATTCTGAGTCTGAGTTTTGAAAACTCCACACACATTCTCCACTCACAACAGAAACACATAAAGTTTAGAAAAATTTTAATGCTAAAGTGAGATTTGGAAAAAAGTTCATATTCAACCAGAAACTCTTAAGAATCTTGAGTAAGTTCAACCAAGAAACTCTTCCTATGGAATTTTGTGGCTTTTAGAAATTTTCTTAGTTGCAGAATTTCTGTAAGGATACCATCTGCAGAAAGATCATCGTGATTTTCAACCAAACTTTGTACACACTTGGGAAGTTTAGTTTCCAAGGTTTTGATCTGATTGTTATTCTCTAAGACCGCAAACCAATCTGATACACATTCCATGCCTTTGCAGTGTCTATCGATTTCTTGTTGAAACCCATCAATGCACTCTGACCTTTTTAGTTGTTGGTCCAAAGTCAGAGGCTCATCTGCAGCCTTCTCTCTGAACATAATTTTGTTCTTCCTGACAGTTTTCCTTTTTACTAGAGGAATGCCCATCTCTTCGCGTGGGTCTTTTGCAAATTGCAGTGCTTACTCAACAAAGTCATTTCTTTTGTCTTTTAAAAAGACCTTTAGACTTCTCATTTTTATAACAGACTTCTTGAAGCTTATAAGGTTTTCTCCCGCCTTCTTAGCATGCCTACGTGGTGTAATGGTCAGCACACTTGGAGCATATTCGAGAGGTCCGAGGTTCGAGTCGCAGCAAGGGCATTGTTCATTTTTTCACGTCTTTCAACATAAAAAATCCTAATGTCTCTATAATGGCGCCCGAACTAAAAAATGTGGTGGATGATGATTCTCCACCACCAGAATTTGGTGATTGGGTCCCCTAATCCCCAATCGCCCTTTAAAAGGAGGATTATATAAGGTATTTCTCCCACCTTCTTAGCATGCCTTTGTGGTGTAATGGTCAGCACACTCGGTCCGTATTCGAGAAGTCTGTAGTTCGAGTCCCGGCGAGGGCATTGCTCATTTCTTTGATTTCCTTGCTTTAAAAAAAACCTAATATCTCTACAAGCTTATTCCAAGACTCTGTAAGTACTTTTGAATTGGTTGACTACTTCTTGTTGCCAGCAACAGAATTTGAGCGCCTCCTCTAGTTTCGATTGTTTCCAAAGTATTACACAGTTCCTGAACAGCATTGACAATTTACTAACACAGGTACTAGCACGTACTAAAACACAGGATTAACAGCTTTGTGGTGAGCACTCCAATTTGTTTCTGAAAGTCGCTTAATTGTAACTTCTACATTTGTCAGAAAGATAATCCATCTATTGCACAGAAGCTGAGAAAAACATGTAAGAACTTTCTAAAATCTAAAAAAAAAAAAAAAAAAAAGCGGGGAGGGGGACAAGCATAATGAAAATTTTGCAAACGATATTGAGAAAGAGATGTTTCCTTGCCCTTGTTACGTTATTGCTTCTTAACCATGCCACTCAATAACTTTTAAAATGTCTTCCATTATGTCAATGCTTTTTTTTCCTTGGCTTAAAACAAAAACCTAGAAATGAATTCTGTATTTAAACTTTTTTGTTCTCTGTGTTAATATAATGAATGATTTCACTCATTTGATCTATTTGTGAGATGTCAGGCTTACTGTCAAATGCTGTTATAGTATAGAGAAATACTAAAATACTTATTTTTAATATCAGTCAAAATCTTTTCCTTAAGAATTCCACCCAGAACTGAGGAGATACTCATTTTATGTGCTACGAGACAAATAACTTGCTATATCTTACCTGATGGTGACTGAGTTTACTGTTCTGGCTTGATTAAGTGCTCTGTTAGTACAGAATCATATTTTGATAAAGTTTTGTCAGCTGTAAAAAATTTCCTTTCTTCTCCATCAACATATGCTCTCTGTGGCCAAGGAATGGAAAATTTTATTTAGACAAAGATAGTGACATCTAAGAGCCTATTTAAAAGATTTTTCCATTTTTTTTTTTTTTTTTTTTTTTTTTTTTTTTCTGTTTCAGCAGCTGTCTTGTTAACTAGATCAGTTGTGCTATTAGCAATTAAACTTGCTCTTAAAGATTTCCATTTTTCAAAACAAGCTTCTATGTTGTTCTGAGTTTTCATGGTTGAGAACTTTCGAACTAAGTTTCCACCAAATTTGAAAAGTAGTTACATATTTAGATGTATTATTCTAACTTGTATCTGTGCCAAAGAGCCTAAAATAAAAACAGTTCTTTGGTTTTTAATTGAGTATGACATCAAGGTTCTCAGAATTTCCTCATCATTTAGCTGACTGATATAAAACAAAACAGACATCAACTCTCAGTTAGCACCCTTCATCTTAGGCTTATCCTCTTGTCTCGTAACTGAAACAAATGGTCCATCTTTGGAACACTTCATCTTTTAATGAAGCCAACTCTTAGATTATCTATAATGGAGAAAGGCCCATCAGAGATGTATGAATACTCTCTCTAATACTCTCCTTCTTGAATGCCCTCTTTAACATGTTCTTAACTTGTTCTTGCTGTGATGCAGAATGCAGGTCTATAAGCTCTGTGGTGGTCAGCTCCTGTGTGTGCTCTTTCACTAATTTATCATTGCCATAGCTATCACCTTTAGCCCATAAACTTGGCCAGAGACACCATCTCGTTGATTACAGGCTCCACACGTGCTTACTCAAACTCTTTGGAGTTGCATTCAACAATGCTATGTGGCAGAGCTTCTTCCATGCAAAAGTAAGGGTTCTTTTCCCCTTCCATGCCTTTTTGGTCATCTTAAAGGCAGGCAATGTGAAATTGGTATATCCAAAACTCTGTGAGAGTCTGATTGGTTCCTTCAGTTACCAGTCCTTTAAGAGCACTTAGAGCTCTTTAAAATTTGAAAGGACCTGCTGGTCCGTGGGCTGAAGTGTGATGGAAAAAGTGAGGTTGAGAAGCAGAAACTGGGTCTTGATGAATTTAAATTCTTCAAGGAGGTAGTCTGGAAGATGAGCAGGAGTGTTATCCATAACAATCAAGGCATGGAATGACAAATTCATCTCAAGCAGATATTCTTTTTACAAATGGATCAAACACTTCTTTGATCCAACTTGTAAAAAGGTTATATGTTTTCCAAACCTTTTTGTTGGATCTTTACATGACATTTAGAGTTCTGTTTTGGGTATTGTACTTCTTGCAGGCTCATGGATTGTCCAAATGATAAACAAAGAGCAGTTTAATTTTCAAATCGCCACAAAAGAATAACATGTCTTTCATTGGCTGGTGGCCCAGCTGTGCCTTCTCCTCTGCTATCATATTAGTTCACTTCAGTATCCTTTTTCCCAGATTAGATCCTTCTCATCACAATTAAAAACTTGCTGCACCAGGTACTCTTCATAATTCATGAGCTTCTTCAATACTGTCATTAAATTCTTAGCTGTTTTTGTGTCTGAGATTGCAGCTTATCTGTATCTCACAACACTGTGGATGCCAGTTCTCTTAAACGTTTTGAAATATCATAGCTTGCCTTGACTGCTGCTTCTTCATCTGTTGACGGTTTGCATTTGCTTTATGTTGATCCATATGAGAAGCAATTTTTCAACATTGGTAGAGAATATGTGGCCATTGTGGTGAAACTCTCCTGACACCCTTTGAGGCATCAATTTTCTTAATCTTATCCTCTTTCTGAGGATAGTGTAAATCGTGAATGTAGACTGATGATATAAGCTTGCTAGATCAGCCACACTCGCACACCATTCTTGCTTCTTGGTGATTTGGCATTTGACTTCTACATTAATTCTTGTTCTCTTATCCCTGTCTTCTTCCTGCCTTTTCTTTGGGGACAAAGATATAAGTAAGCTTAAACTTTTCACTAAAAAATAAATAAATAAATAAAATTATACACAATACTGCATCTAAATACATCACACAGGTAACAGTAAGAAGCTACAGAACGAGCACTATAAACTGATTGTTAGTCAAGATTCAGGCAGGATCCTACATGCGACATCATGATGCTCTGCTGACATTCTGTGAAATATTGCTCAATAAGAGATTATTATTATTATTATTATTACATTTTGTTTCCCTTGTTTCAGTTGTTATTGGAGGTGCTCATTAAACAGGGTTTGGTTGGTTGGTTGGTTGACTTTTAATGGCACAAAACCTTGAAGGTTAATGTGTACCAGACAAATGGTAAATAAAATCCAAAATGCACAAACACACTGTATCAAATGAATTGGTGAAATGAACCTGTAATGCTGATGAAGGTATGTGGATAAATGAGGTTTGAGGGTATATGTATATATATGTATATGTATATAATGCATTCAAACATTTGTATGTATTTATGTATTGATTTATTTGCTTTTCTTCCTTTTTTAGATATTGACATAAGTTTCATTGCAAGATCTCGAAAAGAACCACTTTCTGCTTTGGCATCTGAGTCAGCACTATTTAATTCCTCATCACCCTTGGTAATTTTCCTCTTACCTTTTTAAGCATTATTTTGGGTAGTGTCAAGCAAAAAATAATTTTACATTTCAAGGCATTTAATTTTTTATTTGTGCAAAACTTTTCTACATTAAAGTATGCAAAGTATTTTATTTTTATTTTAACTAAAAATTAATGTTTGTGATATAATTTCTAGTAATTATGTATATAGATTATTTTCATATATGAAAGGATATCTTTGTAAAGATGGCAAATACTTTGGTTGTAATGTTGCTAAAATTTTTCTAAGTTGAACAAATTTTTTATATATGATATGTTTAGATATATATGTAAAGTTCGTATATATTTTACTTTAATGTTAAGTGCAAGTAGTTATGTAAATAGAATATTTTTTTTTATGGGAAATATAAACTCTTTAAGATAATTACAAACAGGGGTTGCAGATTTTTTGCTTGCATTTCTAAAACATGTTTTTTATATATGAAATATAATCTGTTAAATTTCATGATTTGCTTGTAATGTTACTGCAAGTAATTATGCATATAGAGTAAATCTGTTGGATGTGAAGTATTAATTGCATTTTAAACAGAATCACAAGCCCAAGTCTCGTACCCCAAGTCCCTCAAGAATAATAACTTGCAATATATGGACTTCTTGTGTCACAGACCCCTGGACAGTACCTAAAGTGCTCGTAGATTAATATAATGGTGCTGTATGTAAATGTTAGATGTTTTGCTTGCAAGTTCTGTGCAAGTAATTATGTACCATAGAACATATCTGTCATATGTAAAATATTAAACTATATGTTGTAAACTCTGCTAATTATAATAAAGTATGCTGAATTTGTTATTTTTGAATAAAGGAATGTTCATGCAAGATAGATGTAATGGTTTGAGCTTATAAAGTATAGTGAAACCTCACTTGATGAATTTAGTTTGTGAACCAAAACATTCATAAACCGAAGCAATTTTCCTCATAGGATTTAAGGTAAAGTGACTTAATTCCTTCTTGGATCATGAATGATTGCTTAGTTAAACCTTACAGCAATACTTTAACACAAGTTAATAACCCATAACCAAGAGAAATCATTAAATATAGTACAAAAAAGATAAACACAATATTAAACACATGAAATAGATGAAAAATTAATTTTACTCTACCCGTTCAACGGGGAGTAGATGGCATAAGTGGAAAACATTGAGGAACATGTTATTATTTGGATGTGAAATTCCTTTTCATAAATGCATCAGGTGTCTGTCTCTAGGGGACATCTTCTTTTATCTTTTGTTTCTAAGGGCCACTTGATTCTACTTGAGACTCACTGGGGCTCTATTTTACTCAAAATTTGCCAAATATTATTTGTTATTGTATTTTTTATGCTGTAGCCTTGCTGCTTTATCAGGATGAAATCTTTGCATGAAAACTTTGTAAAAACGTCATGGGTCAGAAATATAGGGTCATTTTCCTTTCTTTCTCTTCTTAAGATACGTCTTCCAAAATCACTTTTTTTATTGCTTCTGAAGTTTTAGTTCTGTCATCTTAAACTCATTTTATTATCCTCTAGTAACTTCCCCATGTCTTCACTGTTAACTTCCTAACCCATGGTTTCATCGAAAACATAGTAGCATAGGTAACAGAAAAGCACTAAATGTCAAAGGCTCTGCCTCCAACCCAATCTAGGTTGGAGGGAACTGGGGAAATTCTCCCTAATTTTCTTCTGTTAGAATTCATATTTCTCTGAGATTACTTGCTACCAAGTTTTGCTAATGAGAGTTAAGCTATGAAAAATAACTAAAGTGCTTTTTCTAGAAGTCCAAGAGTGTTAGTTATGTGGCTTATGTTACCTCAAAACACCTTTAAAAATTATGTTGAGTGTTTATAAATTGAAATATTGTTTGATATCTGAGGCGTTTTTTGTTCAGATAATTTCATAAAGTGAGACATTCGTGATCTGAGGTTCCACTGTAGTCAAAATTCCCTCTCATTTTAGTGTTAGAAAAAAATGCTGTATGTCTTTGGAGAGCATGTAACATAGATCTCTCTTCTTCAAATATTCTGTTACAGACCATTTATACTATAAGTAGAGAAATTTGCATTAGATACTTTTAGATGTAAAGTTTTTTTCAAATAGTTGCCAATTTATGGTTGCATTTTGATTAATTTAAAAGTTCAAATTGGTATGCTTTTGTTAAAATTATATCTACATTTCTTTCCTTAATTTAAAATAAAGGACATACGAGAATTATACTGGCATTTTAAAATATCTGGAAAATATCTGTACATAATTTTTAATATTTTAGTGGCAATAAGTGAGAAATTCTGGTCCTCTTTCTTCATAGAGTAATCAAAATTAGTGCGTAAATATGCTTTAGATGTAAAATTTCATTTACTGAAAGTGCAGTTGAATATCATTACAGAATTATTAATAAATGATGTTAAACTACAATATTTCAACTAGGAATTCAAAATTTATTCTCCAAACTCCAGTTCTATTTAAAAAATTGTATCCATTATATAAATACAGCACAAAGTCCGAAGTCCAATTATGATCTCGAAAAGAACAATTATGATGTAAAGGGTATCAAAATGAACAAAAGAAAAAAGCTTAATACTTATTTGTTCACGTTATTAAACATTTCTTTTAATGTAAGTTGTTTAAGATGCTTTCACAAAAAATTCAAAAAGTTCCTTTTTCTTGTGTCATATACAGTGGACATTCCAATGCCATACTCATTACATAATTTTGAGATGGATATGCCTATATCCATTTTTTGCAGCAATTCCACTTTTTGTTTAATGGACATCTAAACATGGCTTCACTTTGTAGATCCTTTGGCAACTCTTTTCGACATAATTGAAAGTTCAAGCTTAGTTTTTATAAAATTGCCGTAATAATAACAGTCTGCAAAAAATAATAAGCTGGATCAAATTAGAAGATCAGGGAGCAGCGCAGTCGCTACATTAATGAAAGCCTTAGATCAGTTAGATAATTTTAGCCTACTTTATTGGGTTTTTACATTATGGCTATGGATCACAGAGGGCGATTCAAGTTGTTTCAGTAAATTTTGTCTTGCTCCTATTGCGTACTGAATTAAGCCTGAATTGTGTTAGTTTAGCTATTTACTATATCTACATTTATTTCTTCACATGATTCAAACTAATCCAAGTCCTGAATAAATAAACTCCTACATATACTTAAGGCTTTATATAGGGCCGGCACTTGATACTGCCTGATGCAGTCTCTACGAGTCCTAAATTCTGCTACATAGCTGTTCTAAATTTTCACCATGCCTAAACTTTGGATCCCAGTGCGTTCCCTAAATCATAAAAATTTCTCATCCCTTAATTTTGCTGCTCGGTGCTTCCACAAATTCCAAAAATTTCGGCTTCCCTAAATTCTGCCGTCCTGTGCCGACATATTCTGCCGTCGCTTCTCAGTGTTTGGTGAATAACATATCAGTTATTCTTAATTAAAATAGCACTAAATGTAATCTTTTGGCCTGTGAGTTTCATTTACAAAATCTATTTTTAGCATATGAAACGAATTTTTTGTTAATTATTCCTCATCAACATTTCTTAGAGCATTTAAAAATCTATAATCATCGCAGCGTAATGTTAGCATAAAAGGTTGCCATTCTTGTTATTCAATTACTAATATAAAAAAGGTTAGACATCACAGCATGAGTTATTGCTGAAGTTGTCATGTATTGATAAACATGCGGTGATGAAAGCAAAATATAATAAATTATGACTCGCCAGGTCGGCGTTGGGGATATAAAATAGGTGAATGTTTCAGTTTGAGATGTATACCGAGTAGATACTCAGCTACCGAGCCAAATTATTAATCTCACAAATTTATGCTTACATGATTGTTTTTCTATAATGAGGTATTTTATTTAGTGCCTAAGTGAAATTAATAATCAGAATTTTTAAGTGAATTTTCAATCTCCACATTTATTATGGAAGGAAAAATCAAATGCGCATGCGTAAAGCATTAATTAAAAAAAAAAAAGTGTTTGTCGCTTTGAGGTCTGGATTTTAGATCATTCCGAATAATGGAATTCTGGATTTCTGACTTTGTACTGTATAATAAAAAATTGTATCTAATATGTAAATATAATGAATTTTTTTTTTTTTTTTTTTTTTTTTTTTTTATAAGACTTCCCATATTTCAAACAGGTCATTATGGTAAGATTACAAATATAACTAAATAATGAATCTAATTTCGTTATTGCTGGATATCCAAAATTAAATATTTCCATGCTTAAACGTATCACTAAAATAAAATAAAAAATTTTATTTCCTTCTTTTCTGTGCTTAATATGTGTTACCTTATTATGTTGTTGATTATTAACTGAAGGAGTAGTATTAGTTAATTAATTATCCAGGCCCTTTCGTGTTTTAATTGGAAATGAATCAGATCAATAATGTAGAATAATGTTAAAAAAAGTAACTTTAGATTGGCTTAGGTTTAAAATAAAGCTCTCTGAATTTTAAGGATGATATAACTCAAGTTTGTCTTTTTTTGGAGGGGAGTATGTTTAGTTGTAGTAAATGGGCAGAAGTTAAATATGTATCCAATAAACAGCAAAAACTAATTTTTCTGTTAAATATTTACAGTATTAGTAGGATCTTCCAAGTAAAATTCTCATATTAATGAGAATAGTTCATTTACAAATAGTTCATTCAGCAATATTTGATATGCTTTATGCTAATAAACCATATGCAGTAAATGGATATATTTCCATCAAAAGTACTGCATGGTCAGCAAATGAAAATCATCAAGAAAAATCAGATAAGTGAGCGCATTGAAAACAAAATTAAAATACATACATGAAAAATGTGCAAGTAAAAGATCAGTTGTTTTTCAGACAAGTGATACTAAATCTATAATTCCTAAATAAACATCCTAAATATACACTGCGTCTGAAATCCGAAAAGTCATTTGGGGGCCTTTATTTTTATAATTTGTGGTTATAAAAGTGTGGAAAGGCTGTCTTCTTGAACATATTACATACTTTTGGTGCTTACAATTAACAGTGTGTACGTGAAAGAGAAGTGGTGGTGCCATTTGTCAAGGTGAATGTCATCTGAATTTCAAAATGCCAACTTCATCAACTAGAACAGAACCACGACGTGTTGGCTGAGGTAGAATCCAGGAAATGTTGTTTATTACTATCCTATTAGTTAACATCAGACCAAAGCGGACAAGACAGCAATATTTGTCTGCACTTAGCTTTTTGATTTATACTTGCGAGCAAAGTGAAATAAGTTTTCAAAGTAATCCTTTAATAAATGCTTAAATATATGATACATCAACTAAAAAGGGACAGTTACTTAGCTGAATTAAAGACTTCATTTTTTTGTGATTTTGCTGTGCAGTATAGTTTTTTTTTTATCTCTAGAATATCAGCTGTCAAATTTTTATGTTTTATTCTTTGGAAGCATATTATAACTTCTGCTGCAACAAAGTTAATGTTGACAACTAAGTCTTCTGGAGGGATAATCTGTGTGATGTAAATTCCATGACTGAAATGACTTAGTTTTCCTTATCCTTCATACTAACAGGGTTTTCTCATTTACATTCTACTATGCATTGTGTTACAATTTTTTTTTTTACTTTTGTCTTGGTCCATCACCCCCTAAAGTTGTTACATCATGTATATATAGTCTTTATTACAGCATGTAGAAACTTCTGGAAGAGGTCAGTTGCTCAAAAGTGAAGAGTGGCAGTTGAGTAAATAAAATACGGTTTTTTAGTACCAACAGATGTTCTGAGTTATTTTTATATCGTGTAACACATACCTGGCTCTGTTTATGCATGAAATTATGAATATTCTGAAAGAC